GCGCGCCCGTGGCACGCGACGGTGCCCTTCATCTGCCCATCGTGCGCCCCGTGGCACACGATGGTGCCCTGCTCGTCGTGCGCCCCTAGGCGCACGATCGGGCCCGGTTTCTTCTCCTACCCGTCGTGCGCCCCGTGGCACTGGCCCGCGACGGGCCTTTCCGCCCCTGCACTCCCTGGAGCCCCCTGACCCAACTGCACCGACACCTTTTCGCCGCTCTGCGGCTTTCTTCCTTCCCACCCCCCTCCTCCTTTGTCTCCCTGCATCCGTGGGGGAGGAGGGTATGGGGGTGGAGGGTGTTGGAGTGTGGCGTCACCTCTCTCCCTTCCCCTCCTCCTTCTTTCAGTCCCACCGCTGCAGCTGCCGCTGGGGGGGGAGGGTGTGAGGATGTGGGGGAGCAGGGGGAGTGGTACCGGGGTGGCGGGTGTGAGGCAACAAGCAGCCGTCCCTCCACCTCTCCTCTCTTCCCCCTTCTCTGCTGCTTCTGCAGCAGTGTGGGGAGGGGAAGGAGGAGGGTGAGGAGATGGAGGGGGTGACCAACTAGTGTCAGCCCGCCTGCATTACCTGCTGTTGCTTGCTTGTTATTACTTTGCATGTGTACACCTGCAGGTTGCATTCTGCACATACTCCTGCTGCAGGCAGTTATGGGGGAGTGTCAACTTATATTTGTAACTGCCTGTAGCTGTAGTTAGTGTAGTTATTTAAACTTTGTATTGGTGGTGCACCTTATGTGTTTCCTTTGCTATATGTACTTCCAAACTATAGTGAAGCCACACATTTCTCTAACTTTTCTCAACTCACTCGAACTCCTACCTAGGCCCAAAACCGCTCGACACCTAAAGCTCGGGCCTAGGCTACTAAGCCTAGGCCCCACCTTTCTACCTCTCAACTTACCTATTCGTATTACTCTCGACACGTGGGTGTCCTGATGTTTTGCAGATGTGACAAAACGGAGGTACTGGCTTCGGCTGCTGCTGTCGATTGTTGTAGTTGTTGTGTCATCGCTGGGTATGGAAAGCGAACTCCGGTGCTAATGTCCTTTTCTTGTGTCTTTCTTCTTGCAGGTCCATATCCTGCTGCTCGGCGTGGATTTCGGCGCAGAGTGCCGCTTCGGAGATCCTCCCGTGAGCTCGAAGAATTGCTTTGGTGGCGCGCCACTGAGGACCAAGGCCACCGATGACGACTGTTACGAAGGCGTCTTCAGAGATTGACCCTCCGCATCGAAGAAGCTTGTCGCGCAATTCGCGACATCAGCTGATATACGCCAACCCTTTTTCTCCTGGTTTCATTTCGACTGTTGTTAGCTGCGCCATTAACTTGCTCTGGTTTACACTGTCTGTTGCCTGATACAGATTCTTCAGATGGCCGTACGCGAGTTCCGCCGAGTTGCCGAAGTTCCGGTAAGAGCGAATGTTCTGCTGCTGGGTTGGTGTGATGTTTCTCAGTAGAATGATATACGCCATCATGGATTGATACGTATACTGCTGTTTCTCATATTGTGTCTCGTTTGCTGGATACTGCAGGGATACGTCGAAGAAGCCGAGTATCTGCGCGCCCTCCATCATCAACTCGAACTCAAAGGACCAGGTAAAGAAGTCCTTTCCGTCGAAAGGTCTTGATGTCTGTAGTTTCAGAACATGCGCGAACTGCGACTGAACTTGTAAAGCATCCATTGGTTTGTCTTGCGCAAGTGGAGGTTGAGGCAGGAAGCTGATCGACCCGCGTTCGTATGGGGCGAAGGTGGGTTGCTGCTGTTGATTCCCTCGCGCATATGACGACCCATCAAGGCTCATGGGTGTTGCTCCGTTGTTGCTGTTGTGTGTCTGTGCAGGTCCCGACTGCTGGTGTTGCTCGTAGAAGGACATGAAGGAGAAGAATTTCTCCATCATGTTTTGGTCGAAGTCAGAAGGGTGGTTCGTGGGAGTCTCGGTTGAAGTTCCCCTTGGCCTTGCTGCCGTGCCTTCCTCTGTTTGCAGGCCAGAGGCTGGTGGTGGAGTAGTAGTGCCCGAGGAGCCATTAGGAGAGCTCCTTTCCTTGTTTGTTGCCATGTCTTGAAATGATTTTGAAAGAAGTTTAGAGTTTTCCCCTGTCTGCTCTCATACCATGTTGGGCTGAGAAAAGCCCTTAGGATCTTTTGCAGAGGATAACTCTTGGGTAGAAACTTGTAATAGCGGAAGCGTTTAATGAAGATTGTGAACCAACCTTGCACTAGTGTGTGAGAGCTAAGTAGATTAAATTAAACGAGCAAATACAAGGATTTATATAAGAGTACAGGGAATACGAATAGATAGATAACTGTTTGCTGTTGCGATTCGATACAGTGCGACTCGGGCAACTGCTCTGTAACGAGTCAGTTGTGTGTCCTTAACTGTCGCGCTGTAATTGTCGAGTCAAAGGTCGCTGACCTTTGACTTTCTCGTAACCTCCAGGAGGTTACCCTAACCTCCGAGTTTGACTCGATGCTTCGATTGGGACTGCTTCGTTTGGTGCCTTGGATTTTGACACGACAGAAACGCACTTAAGGCTTATTGTTTCCACACACTTTTGGGCCTTCATCCTCGCCCTTCGCAACAGCAAGGAGCTCCCATCGCTCGACAAGATCTCGCCACTTGGCAGACGCCGAGTCATGCTCGAGTCGAGTGTATCCTGCTGAGCTGAGCAACAGTCTAGTGCTCCGCTAGAGTGTCTCCCAAGAATGGCGGCACGTTCCCTTTGTTCCTGCCCAAGGATGCTATTGCATGTCACCATTCGGCATGACACCACCAATTTCCTTTCAAGTTGCACCTGCTGGTCGTCAGTTCCACTACGAACTCAATATGTGTCTTGGTTCTACTATAAGACCCTGCATAGTACTGTTCTGTAACAAGTTAATTTTGTAGCCCGACTCTGCTCTGTTGGGAACAATAAATCCTAATGCGCCTCTGTCGTGTCAAAACCCAAGACACTAGCGAAGCACTCCGAATCGAAGCATCGAGTCAAACCTCGGAGGTTAGGGTAACCGCCTGGAGGTTACGGGAAAGTCAAAGGTCAGCGACCTTTGACTCGACAAGTACAGCGCGACAGTTAAGGACACACAACTGACTCGTTACAGAGCAGTTGCCCGAGTCGCACTGTATCGAATCGCAACAGCAATACAGTTATCTATCTATTCGTATTCCTTGTACTCTTATATAAAACCTTGTATTTGCTTGTTTAACTTAATCTACTTTGCTCTCACACACTAGTGCAAGGTCGGTTCACAAACTTCATTAAACGCTTCCGCTATTACAAGTTTCTTACCCAGAGTTATCCTCTGCAAATATCCTTAGGGCTTTCTCAGCCCAACATGGTATGAGAGCTGACAGGGGAAAACTCCAACTCTTTCAAAGATCGTTACAAGACATGGCAACAAACAAGGAAAGGAGCTCCCCTAATGGCTCCTCGGGCACTACTCCTACTCCACCGCCAGCCTCTGGTCAGCAGACAGAGGAAGGCACGGCAGCAAGACCAAGGGGAACGTCAACTGAGACCCCCACGAACCACCCTTCTGACTTCGACCAGAGCATGATGGAGAAATTCTTCTCCTTCATGTCCTTCTACGAGCAACACCAGCAGTCGGGACCTGCACAGACACACAACAGCAACAACGGAATGACACCCATGAGCCTTGACGGGTCGTCATATGCGCGAGGGAATCAACAGCAGCAACCTACCTTCGCCCCGTACGAGCGCGGGTCGATCAGCTTCCTGCCTCAACATCCACCTGCGCAAGACAAACCAATGGACACGTTTCAAGTTCAGTCGCAATTCGCGCATGTCTTGAAACTACAGACATCAAGACCTTTCGACGGAAAGGACTTCTTCACCTGGTCCTTTGAATTCGAGCTGATGATGGAGGGCGCGCAGATACTCGGCTTCTTCGACGGATCCCTGCAGTATCCAGCAAACGGCACACAGTATGAGAAGCAGCAGTATACGTATCAATCGATGATGGCGTATACTATTCTACTGAGAAATATCACACCAACTCAGCAGCAGAACATTCGCTCTGACCGGAACTTCGGCAACTCGGCGGAACTCGCGTACGGCCATCTGAAGAACCTGTATCAGGCAACAGACAGTGTAAACCAGAGCAAGTTAATGGCGCAGTTGACAACAGTGGAAATGAAACCAGGAGAAAAAGGGTTGGCGTATATCAGACGATGTCGCGAATTGCGCGACAAGCTTCTTCGATGCGGAGGATCAATCTCCGAAGACTCCTTCGTAACAGTCGTCATCGGTGGCCTCGGTCCTCAGTGGCGCGCCACCAAAGCAATTCTTCGAGCACACGGGAGAATCTCCGAAGCGGCACTCTGCGCCGAAATCCACGCCGAGCAGCAGGATATGGACCTGCAAGACGAAAGACACAAGAAAAGGGCATTAGCAACGGAGTTCGCTTTCCATACTCAGCGACGACATAACAACTACAACAACCGACAGCAGCAGCCGAAACCAGTACCTCCGTTTTGTCACATCTGCAAGACATCAGGACACCCACGCACGCACTGCCCGTCTTGTCAGACAACACCACAGCGACAAGTGCGGCCTTCAAGCTCGCAAGTTGCTTCTACACAAGCAAGTCCGACAACAACGATTCAAGCTTCAACAACTTCAACTGGACAACCTGCACAAGGAGCAAGAAACATAGTCAACTGCATGGTAAAGATAAACGACTCTTGCATAACAGAGTCACCACCCCATTACTCACCAGAAGAGGAGCTCGACAACAGGACGCTCGCCGCGAATCACTCCACTCGAATCCGACTTACGCCGCCATCGCTCAAAGCGAACCGTCCGGCCAAGACACTTGGTTCTTGGATAGTTGCTGCGGGCAACACATGTGCTCGTCCGGGCGCTTCGTACAACGTGAACATCGACTCCAACGAGAAGTGATCATCACGGTCGCCAACAACCAAAACCTGCGCACACGACGACAAGGAGTGGTACAGCTTCAGTCAAGAGAAACAAATGTCATACTGCACATGTCTAAGGTACTCATCCCTGAAGGACTCGGTTACAACTTACTGAGTGTTAGTCAACTGATGACAAAGGGAATTCACCTGGAAGCCGACAGCACCACCCAGGAGTTCAAGCTATATCACGGGAGAGGCGGACTCTACATCGGGAAAGCAGTACTGAAAAACAATGTCTTAGTCCTCGACTTCGTTCCTGACCTGGGCACTGCAGACAGCGACGCCATCGTGAATTTCACTGACTGGACACACCCTCCGGATCTCGACCCCGACTTCAGCCCGGGAGGTTTCTGGTACTCCCACACTATCCCCGAAGCAGAACGAACAAGAGCGTTAGCGACGATTCAACAACCATCAGAAGCAGAAGCAGCAGCAGCAACAACATCGGCAGTAGCAACATCGGCAGCAGCAACAACATCGGCAGGAGCAACAACATCGGCAGCAGCAACAACATCAGCAGCAGTAGGAACAACGACACCAGTCACAGTCGACGAAGTACCACCAACACCCGCGCAACAGCTGAATCCGACTCAACGTGAAATCCACCGAAGCGCCAACTTTGTCGCCAGTTTTTACTCCAACTCCGACACATACCAACGTTCACCCAGACACCGCGCCTCTAAAGAAATCTGGCACGCACGCACAGGACATCCAAGCAACACGGTTTTAAACAACACGATAAGAGCAGGAGTTCTTGACAAAGACTCCCTACTACTACCCGACGGCAGAGAACTCCATAAGGCACGAGGGACTTGCCTCATATGCCCCGAAGCTGACTTACCTCATCGACCGTTTGCTCCACATCACAACCCGAGCGCTCCAGCGTACGCACCACTCGAAAATGTCTACAGCGACATCCTCTATAATCGCGAACCAGGACAAGTCAACTACAACTACACCATCACCTTCATCGACGCCGCCACTCGATATGTCTGGCATCGTAACCTACCCAGCCGCGACATGGCGCTCACAGCATTCGCCGCCTGGCTACCGATAGCAGAGAGAGAGTCTGGAACGCAACTGAAAAGCTTCCAGTCAGACGGAGGTGGCGAGTACACCTCTCAGCGCTTCAAGCAGTTCCTGGCGGAAAGGGGGATCAAGCAACTCCTCTCTCCTCCCTACGCACATCAGCAGCAGGGTGTTGCAGAAAGAATGAACAGGACTCTGCAGAACAGCATGCGCAAACTGTTACGTGGCATGCGGCTACCCAACCACCAGTGGCCAACAGCAATGGACCATGCTGTCATGCTGCACAACTTGTTGTCGTCGTCGTCACTCCCGAACAACGCATCACCGCATCTGCTGTGGACAGGGAAGCAGGGCAGCACAAAAATGTTACGAGTCTTCGGGTGCATGGTACAGTACAGACCCCAGAAGCACGAGCGGGAAGATTCTCGCAACGGGCACAGTGGGGACTACACCTCGGCATCGAGAAAAATTACAACGCGTGGAGAATCTTCGACGTCCACACAAAAGAAATAGTAGCAGCACGTGATGTGATCTTCTACGAAAGACTCACCCTTCAGACGTACCTCGCCAACTTGCACGAGAATCGGGACCTCACCAGTGGCTTTCGTGGTGACCGAGCCTTCGCGTCAGCAGCGGATGAAGCAGACTGGGATGAGCAGAACGTCGACAACGCATCAGAGGAAGCCGGACCTCTTCCGTACTGCTCCGTCGACGTACCCATGGATGAGGATAATCCTCGCGACAGTAACAACGCCGAAGTTTTCTACCATTTCGCCGACAATGGTTACGTAACACCTGCGACAGTCAACACCAACGAAGCAGAAAGGGTAGGGCCGAATTTCATACCCGACCCAGAAGCGGGAGACGAAGCAGCTTATCCCAAGGATCCAGAACTCCCTCGATACTCACAGACTGGGCTGCAAATCCTTGGTCTCGTCACCGCAGTCCACGGCGCCGCCATTCCTAAGGAGCCTGCGACGGTTCAACAGGCTCTGGGGGGGGAACACAGGGAGAAATGGCGTGAAGCCATGGACAAAGAACTGAAGGCACTGGAGGAGCGCAACACCTGGAAAATCGTTCCCATCGGCGTAGCACAAAACAAGACTATTCTTACCGGGAAGTGGGTCTTCCGTGTGAAGACGAAAGCTGACGGCACCATCGACAAATTCAAAGCTCGCTGGGTCGTGCGTGGATTCGACCAGGAACAAGGACGAGACTTCACCGAGACCTTCGCCCCAGTTAGTCGACATACCTCTCTCCGCATTCTTCTCGCCGTCGCCGCCATGAAGAAGAAGAAGCTGCGACAGATCTATGTCGCCAACGATTTCCCGGTGAGAATGGTCTTGTTCCGTGCCACGCTTGCGGGAACGACCTTCCAGGTGTTGCGTTCCTCCAGTGCCTTTAATTCCCTGTCCATGGCTTCACGCCATTTCTCCCTGTGTTCCCCCCCCAGAGCCTGCTGAACTGTCGCAGGCTCTTTAGGAAGAGTGCTGCCGGCGTTCCCGTGGACTGCGGTGACGAGACCAAGGATTTGCAGCCCATTCTGTGAGTATAGAGGGAGTTCTGGATCCTCGGGATAAGCTGCTTCGTCTCCCGCTTCTGGGTCGGGTATGAAATTTGGCCCTACCCTTTCTGCTTCGTTGGTGTTGACTGTCGTAGGTGTTACGTAACCATTGTCGGCGAAATGGTAGAAGACTTCGGCGTTGTTACTGTCGCGAGGATTGTCTTCATCCATGGGCACGTCGACGGAGCAGTACGGGAGAGGCCCGGCTTCCTCCGATGCGTTGTCGACGTTCTGTTCATCCCAGTCTGCTTCGTCCGCTGCTGAGGCGAAGGCTCGGTCACCACGAATGCCACGGTGAGGTCCCGATTCTCGTGCAAGTTGGCGAGGTACGTTTGAAGGTGAGTCGTTCGTAGAAGATCACATCACGTGCTGCTACTGTTTCTTTTGTGTGGACGTCGAAGATTCTCCACGCGTTGTAATTTTTCTCGATGCCGAGGTGTAGTCCCCACTGTGCCCGTTGCGAAAATCTTCCCACTCGTGCTTCTGGGGGTCGGTACTGTACCATGCACCCGAAAACTCGTAACATTTTTGTGCTGCCCTGCTTTCCTGTCCACAGCAGATGCGGTGATGCGTTGTTCGTGAGTGACGACGACGACAGCAAGATGTGCAGCATGACAGCATGGTCCATTGCTGCTGGCCACTGGTGGTTGGGTAGCCGCATGCCACGTAACAGTTTGCGCATGCTGTTCTGCAGAGTCCTGTTCATTCTTTCTGCAACACCTTGCTGCTGATGTGCGTAGGGAAGGGAGAGGAGTTGCTTGATTCCCCTTTCCGCCAGGTACTGCTTGAAGCGCTGAGAGGTGTACTCGCCACCTCCGTCTGACTGGAAGCTTTTCAGTTGCGTTCCTGATTCCCTCTCTGCTATCGGTAGCCAGGCGGCGAAAGCTGCGAGTGCCATGTCGCGGCTGGGTAGGTTGCGATGCCAAACGTATCGAGTGGTGGCGTCGATGAAGTTGATCGTGTAATTATAGGTCACTTGGCCTGGTTCTCGATTGTAGAGGATGTCGCTGTAGACTTTTTCGAGTGGTACGTATGCAGGTGCGCTCGGGTTGTGATGAGAAGAAAACGGTCGATGGGGTAAGTCGGCTTCAGGGCAGATGTGGCAAGCTCCTCGTGCCCGTTGAAGTTCTCTCCCATCGAGTAGTAGTAGCGAATCTTTGTCAAGCACTCCTGCTCGTATCGTATTGTTTAATCCCGTGTTGCTTGGATGCCCTGTGCGTGCGTGCCAGATTTCTTCGGAGGCACGGTGTCCAGGTGATCGTTGATATGCGTCGGAGTTGGAGTAAAAACTGGCGACGAAGTTGGCGCTGCGGTGGACTTCTCGTTGAGTAGGGTTCAGCTGTTGTGCGGGTTGTTGGTGGTTCTTCGTCGACGATGACTGGTGTTGTTGTTCCTGCTGCTGCCGATGTGTTGTTGCTGCTGCCGATGTTGTCTCTGCTGCTGCTATTGTTGTCTCTGCTGCTGCCAGTGTTGTCTCTTCTGCTGCCGATTGTTGAATTGTTGCTAATGCTCGTGTTCGCTCTGCTTCAGGGATGGTGTGTGAGTACCAGAAGCCTCCTGGGCTGAAGTCGGGGTCGAGATCCGGAGGGTGTGTCCAGTCGGTAAAGTTGACGATGGCGTCGCTGTCTGCAATGCCTAGGTCGGGGACGAAGTCAAGAACGAAGATGTCGTTCTTCAACGCTGCTCTCCCGATGTAGAGACCGCCCCTCCCGTGGTAGAACTTGAACTCCTGGGTGGTGCTGTTGGCTTCCAGGTGAATCCCCTTCGCCATCAGCTGGCTAACACTCAGTAAGTTGTAACCAAGTCCTTCTGCGATGAGTACTTTCGACATGTGTAGTATGACGTTGGTTTCTCTTGATTGAAGCTGAACTACTCCTTCTCGTCGTGTGCGCAGGTTCTGGTTGTTGGCGACCGTGATGACTACTTCTCGCTGTAGTCGATGTTCGCGTTGTACGAAGCGCCCGGACGAGCACATGTGTTGCCCGCAGCAACTATCCAAGAACCAAGTGTCTTGGCCGGACGGTTCGTTTTGAGCGATTGCGGCGTACGTTGGATTCGGCTGGAGTGATTCGCGGCGAGGCGTCCTGTTGTCAAGCTCTTCTTCCGGTGAGTAGTGCGGTGGTGATTCGGTTGTGCACGAGTCGTTTATCTTCACCATGCAGTTGACGATGCTTCTTGTTCCTTGTGCAGGTTGTCCAGTTGAAGTCGTTGAAGTTTGGATCGTGGTCGTCGGACTTGCTTGCGTTGAAGCAACTTGGGAGCTTGAAGGCCGCAGTTGTCGCTGTGGTGTCGTCTGACGAGACGGGCAATGCGTGCGAGGATGGCCCGAGGTCTTGCAGATGTGGCAGAACGGAGGTACCGTTTTCACTTGCTGTTGTCGATTGTTGTTGCCGTTGTGTCGACGCTGAGTGTGAAAAGCAAATTCTGGTGCTAATGCTTTCTTCTTGTGTCTTTCTTCTTGCAGGTCCATGTCCTGTTGCTCAGCATGAATTTCGGCGCAGAGTGCCGCTTCGGAGATCCTCCGTGTGCTCGTAATATGGCGCGAGTGGAGCGCCAGTGGGGGCCGAGACCGCCGATGACCACCGTGACAAAGGCGTCTTCTGAAATTGACCCGCCGCATCGAAGAAGCTTGTCGCGCAGTTTGCAGCAGCGGCTGATATAAGCCATGCCTTTCTCGCCTGGTTTCATTTCAATTGTTGTCAACGGCGCCATTAACCTGCTTTGGTTTACGCTGTCTGTTGCTTGATACAGGTTCTTCAGATGGTTGTACGCAAGCTCCGCGGAGTTGCCGTAGCCTCGGTAAGTCTTGATGTTCTGCTGCTGGGTTGGGGTGATGTTCCTCAGCAGAATCGTGTACGCCATCATCGACTGATATGTATATTGCTGCTTCTCATATTGTGTCCCGTTTGTTGGATATGGCAGGGACCCGTCGAAGAAGCCAAGAATATGTGCTCCTTCCATCATCAGTTCGAACTCGAACGACTAGGTGAAGAAATCTTTGTCGTCGAAAGGCTTTGTTGTCTGTAGTTTTAGGACATGCGCGAATTGCGATTGGACTTGTAACGCATCCAATGTCCTTTCTTGTCCCGATGCAGGTTGCGGTTGCGGCACGAAGCTGACGGAGCCACGTTGGGGCTCGTACGGCGCAAAGGTAGGCTGCTGTTGTTGTTGTTGAATCCCGCGTGCGTAGGATGAGCCGTCGAGACTCATCGGAGTAACGTTGTTGTTGTTGCTGTTGTTTGACTGCGCAGGCACTCCTTGCTGGTGTTGCTCGTAGAAGGACATGAAGGAGAAAAATTTCTCCATCATGTTTGGATCGAAGCCAGCGGGTGTTTCCGTGGACCCAGCTGCTGGTCTTGCGGTAGTGCCTTCCTCTGTCTGTAGACCAGAGGCAGGAGGTGGAGTAGGAGTAGTGCCTGGTGAGCCGTTGGAGGAGCTCCTCTCCTTCCTTGCAGACATGTCTAATTTCTTTGTATTGAGTGTTGAGAGAAAAGATAGCCGTTATACTCTAACTGCTCTCATACCATGTTGGGCTGAGAAGCCCCAGGATCTTTGTAGAGTTTAAGGACTGAGTAGGATTGTAATAGCGGAAGCGTTGAAGTGAAGAATGATTGAACCACCTTGCGCTGGTGTGTGAGGGCAAAGTAAGTTGAATTAAACAAGCAAGTACAAGGTTTATATAAGAGTACAAGGAATACGAATAGATAGATTTAAACCGTTTTACTGTTGCGATTCGATACAGTGCGACTCGGGCAACTGCTCAATGTCGAGTCAGTTGTGTGTCCTTGCTGTCGCGCTGTAATTGTCGAGTCAAAGGTCGCTGACCTTTGACTTTCTTGTAACCTCCAGGCGGTTACCCTAACCTCCGAGGGTTGACTCGCGATGCTTCGATTCGGACTGCTTCGCTAGCGTCCTGAGTTTCGACACGACAAAGGCGCTTAAGACTTATTGTCCCAACACATCTAACATAGAATTTCCTACAGTTTGTTCGGTAGAGGCCAGCTCAGTGTGCACTGTCCTGGTGGGAGTCAGACCAGGAGACTTGCCAAAGAAACAAATTACTTCACCACACAAATTTCACAACACAAATGTATATCAAGCATACAGACTTGCAATGGCCTATGCAAGCATTGCACAAGCACCTTGTAGCCATTATAAACATTCCTCAGCTTGAACCTGCCCACAGTACATGGAGCAGCAGTTGGCCTCACAATGGAGAGGCCTGTCTAGGTGGGATGAGAAAGCCTAAGTGGTTTTTGTTGGAAACAAGTAACTCAACTCTTTTGATGTGTCGGAACATCGAACTGTAAACGAAGCAAATAGCAATGAAGCAACGACGAGTCAACCGAGGAGGTTGGCAAGAGAAGTAACTGCTGGAGGTTACGCGAAGGGTCAAAGATCAACGAACTTTGACTTGACAAATACAGTGCGACAGCAAGGACAAACAACTGACTCGATACTGAGCAGTTGCCCAAGTCGTTACTGTATCGAACCGCAACAGGAACAGTAAAACAGTTGTTAGTTGAACCCTTTCAGATTCCTTGTAATCTTATAAAAGCTTGTACTACCTTTCTATAATTTAATCTATCTTGCCCTCACATACTACCGTCATCGCCCGGATATAAGACAGTGTTGAATAGTAGACAGGGTTGTCTATTATACGGGTGTCTCTTATAAACAGGCTAGCCTTTTTATACGACACATATTTGTGTGTACGAGATAAGACATATGCGTCTTATAATCGAAACTGCATGTATTATAGTGAAAATTGAAATGCCGCGTACATCTTTACCCTTGCGACACGCGAATTCTGCCACGTGCTGACTCACGTACTACCAAATTTGCCTCTGCAAGTATTTGGGATGACGTGGCGTCCCGAACAATGGTTGCCGAAGTGGCACCTTTGAACCATCCACACTCTTAATGAGAAACTCTTTTCAAGATGCGTGAAAATATTTCTAAGTAGTTAAAAAAAGTTTCCATTTATAAGACTTATAAGACACCCAAAACCTCCCCAAATGCAAGATAACCCAAGCATTTTTTTTTAGTGTATGAGATAAGACATATATGTCTTATATCCGGGCGATGACGGTAGCGCAAGGTGGTTCAACACTCATCATTAAACGCTTCCGCAATTACAACACTTCTACTCACAGTTTAGCCTTGCAAAGATCCTAAGGGCGTTTTTAGCCCAACATGGTATGAGAGCTATCAAGGCAAAACAACTACATTCAAGCTTCATACAACAACACAAGACATGGCTACTCAGAAAGAGAGAAGCTCCTCTAACAGCTCTCCCGGCACTACTCCCACTCCACCTCCTGCCTCTGGCCTACAGACAGAGGAGGGCACGGCAACAAGACCAGCAGCGGGGTCTACCGAAACTCCCGCGAATCAAGCTGCAGGCTTCGACCCAAGCATGATGGAGAAATTCTTCTCCTTCATGTCCTTCTATGAACAACACCAGCAAACAGCACCTACGCAGTCAAACAACAGCAACAACAACAACGACGTCACACCTATGAGTCTTGACGGCTCATCCTACGCATGCGGAAACCAGCAGCAACCTACCTTTGCCTCGTACGAGCCTCAGCGCAACTCCATCAGCTTCATGCCGCATCAACAGCCTTCACCTGGACAAGACAAGACATTGGACGCACTTCAGGTTCAGTCGCAATTTGCGCACGTACTAAAATTGCAGACATCAAGACCATTTGATGGAAATGACTTCTTTACCTGGTCGTTTGAATTTGAGCTGATGATGGAAGGCGCACAAATTCTCGGATTCTTCGACGGGTCCCTGCCATACCGAACACACGGGAGGCAATACGACAAGCAGCAGTATACATATCAATCGCTGATGGTGTACACGATCCTGCTGCGAAACATAACGCCAAGCAAGCAGCAGAACATCCGATCTTATCGTGGATACGGGAACTCCGCCGAACTCGCGTACAGCCACCTGATGAGCCTGTATCAAGCAACAGATAGTGTTAATCAAAGCCGTCTCATGGCACAGCTCACAGCAGTAGAAATGAAACCCGGCAAGAAAGGGATGGCATATGTCCACCGTTGTCGCAGACTGCGTGGCAAACTCCTTCGATGCGGAGGCTCGATACGTGAAGAAGCCTTCGTGACAGTTTTCATCGGCGGCCTCGGTCCTCATTGGCGCTTTACTCGAGCCGTTTTCCGAGCCCACGGGAAGATCTCCAAAGCAGTGCTCTGCGCTGAAATTCACGCTGAACAGCAAGACATGGACCTGCACGAAGAACGACACAAGAAGAGAACGTCAACACCTGAGTTTGCCTTTCACACTCAACGGCGCTACAACAACAACAACTACCTGCAGAACAAGCATCAATGACAACAACCCGTACCTCTGTTCTGTTACTTCTGCAAGACGTCTAGACACACTCGTACACACTGCCCAAACCGACAGCAGCCAACACCACTGCAACGACAACTTCGGCCCTCAAGCAGCCAAGTTGTCTCAACACAAGCGCATCCCACTGCTCAAGTTCAAACTTCAACAACGTCGACGACACAACCTGCACAAGGGACAAGAAACATCGTGAGCTGCATGGCAAGATTGACTGACTCCTGCATTACCGAATCACTGCCGCACTACTCACCGGAAGGACAACTTGACGAAAGTACTCCCCGCTGCGAGTCACTGGAGCCAAAACCGACGTACGCAACCATCGCCCAGAGCGAGCCGTCCGGATAAGACACCTGGTTCGTAGACAGCTGCTGCGGACAACATGTGTGCTCCTCGGTCGCTTCGTTTAACGAGAACATCAGCTCCAGCACGAAGTAGTCATCACCGTCGCCAACAATCAGAACCTGCGCACACGACGACAAGGCGTCGTTAAACTTCAGTCAAGAGAAACCAATGTCATACTACAAATGTCAAAGGTTTTAATCGCGGAGAGACTCGGCTACAACTTACTCAGCGTCAGCCAGTTGATGGCGAAAGGTATCCACACAGGAGTTTTAGCCGTACCACGGGAAAGAAGGTCTCTACATCGGCAAGGCAGTCTTGAAGAACAATGTCTTCCTTCTTGACTTCGTTCCAGATCTAGGCACTGCCGACAGCGATGCCATCGTCAACTTCACTTCTTGGACACACCCTCCAAATCTCGACCCCGACTTCAGTCCTGGAGGCTTCTAGCATTTGCACACCATACCTGAATAAGAACGAACAAGAGCATTAGCAACGATCCAGACAATATCGGCAGCAGCAGAGACAACATCGGCAGCAGCCGAGACAACACCGATCACGACAACAATCGCGGGTCCTTCAAAGGCACCAGTTCCAATCGACGATACACCACCGACTCCTGCGCAACAGTTGACTCCCACTCCACGGGAAGTCCACAGAAGCGCAAATGTCACCGCTGGTTCTTACTCCAACCCTGACTTGTACACGCGCTCACCCGGACATCGCGCTGCTGGCGAAGACATCTGGCACGCAAGAATGGGACACCCGAGCAACATGGCGTTAAATAACACAATAAGAGCAGGAGTAATGGATAAAGACTCGCTACTTCTACCCGACGGAAGAGAACTTCAACGAGTTCGAGGAACATGCTTCACCTGCCCTGAAGCCGACTTACCGCATTAGCCGTTCTCTCACCACAACCCAAGTGCGCCGGCAAACACACCTCTAGAGAAGGTGTACAGCGACATACTATACAACTGTGAACCTGGTCAAGGAGCATACAACTACGTCGTCACCTTCATCGACGCCGCCACACGATACGTATGGCACCTTAACCTTCCGAGCCGTGACATGGCCTACGAAGCCTTCGTCGCCTGGCTTCAAGTCGCAGAACGGGAATCAGGAGTAAAGCTAAAAAGCTTCCAGTCAGACAGCGGAGGAGAATATCAGTCCCAAAGGTTCAAGGACTACCTGGCACAACGAGGCATCAAAAGGCTCATCTCCCTTCCCTACGCTCATCAACAGCAAGGCGTAGCAAAAAGGATGAACAGGATGTCAGAACATTATAGCTTACTCATTTTTGTAGGCTATAGTGGGGTATCCCATAGAGGGTACAACCCAATTAGGGTTTCATATTTGTACTCACTTCATTTCATATTTCATTCATTCTCGTTCTAACTTTCTCATGGTATCGAGCAGGTTCCCCCGTGGGAACTGTGCATAGGGCCCACCACATCGAACCTTTTTTTTCTGCCGGGAACGCGCTCCGGGCCCTTGCTCTTACTTTTTTTTTTTCGATCTGCCCTAACGGCCCGAGCGCCGCCTTAGCGAGCCGCCCGCCCTAGCAGCCCGAGCGCCGCCTTAGCGCCCGCGCCCCGCTGCCCGCCCTCGCGCCGCCTTAGCGGCCTCGCCGCCCTGAAATCGCGGCCCTCGCCGCCCCTGATCTCGCGGCCCCGCCGCCCAAGCGCCCGCGGCCCCCGCCGTCCCTGATCTCACGGCCCCGCCGCCTCAGCGCTCACGGCCCCGCCGCCCCTGATCTCGCGGCCCCGCCGCCCCAGCGCTCCCGGCCCCGCCGCCCCTGATACGCGGCCCCGCCGCCCCAGCGCTCCCGGCCCCGCCGCCCCTGATACGCGGCCCCGCCGCCCCAGCACTCCCGGCCCCGCCGCCCGTGCTACGCGGCCCCGCCGCCCCTGGTCTCGCGGCCCCGCCGCCCCTGGTCTCACGGCCCCGCCGCCCTTGATTAGCGGCCCCGCCGCCCAGCGCTTCCGGCCCCGCCGCCCCAGCGCTCCCGGCCCCGCCGCCCCTGATACGCGGCCCAGCCGCCCCAGCGCTCCCGGCCCCACCGCCCGTGCTACGCGGCCCCGCCGCCCCTGGTCTCGCGGCCCCGCCGCCCCAGCACTCACGGCCCCGCCGCCCCTTGCTCTCGCGCCGCCCAACTGCAGCAGCCGAGCCGCCCAACTGCAGCAGCCGAGCCGCCCACCTGCAGCAGCCGAGCCGCCAACTGCAGCAGCCGAGCCGCCGGACCGCCAAGCAGCAGTGCAGCCGAGCCGCCCTGCACCCAAGCCGCCCGGCAGCCGCGCCGCCCCGCCCGAGCCGCCCTACCGCC